TTCCTCCTCGTCCTGGAAGCGCAGCAGGCTGGACTGCAGCGCCCCTTTGTTCTCCGCGGCCTTCTGTGTGGCTTCAGCCTGTTGCTGGGGTTGGTGCCACCCAGGAAGCAGCCCCTGGCCTCGGCTCCGTGGCCCACGATCAGTGGTCGAGAGGCCAGCGGCACCTCCCCCCAGGGGAGAACGGCAGATTTCACCTTGTTTTAAGCATTGCAATCAGAGGAGGAGTTGTAAGTGGGTCACATGAAATCCACTGGTGACGGGTTAGGGAAGCGGGAGAAAGCAAAGCCGAGAGTGGATAAAAAGTAAACGATAGGCACATGCTTCCTTTACTTAGGTGTACAGGCTAGTTAACAGCCAACAATTAGCACGATAACAATAACAATGAAGGGATTTATGGTCTCTCTTCTGCACCCACGTACATTTGGTTGTACCCCAACGGAGGGAGCAGGAGGGAGTTACAAGTTTCTCTGACATTTCATAGGTATGTCATCTTAGATGCAAAAAGACAATAGGCTCAGGTAAGGTAAAAATTGACCTTGTCAGGGAAAATACAGGCCTAGGACATGACTACCCACCATAACTACTTTTAGTTGAAATTTTAATTTCAGACATCCTTGTGGTTACTTTAAGTCTTTAAGTTTGCAAGACTGCCACGCAGGCCTTCCCCGAGGCTGTCAGGTTAGCATGTGGCCCCTTTCCCCTACAATGGAAATATTCCTAAAGGCGTTTCTAGTTCCTGATGTCCTAGTGGCATTTGTCCCTTCAATTGTCAGCATATGGTTTATGAAAATGAGTCCTGCCACTTTTTTTCTTCTAGTCTATATCTTACAAAGTTTATTTTCCCTTCTTGTTTTAGCAGTGTCCCCACTACCCTCCCATATCTGTCTTGGAGGTCCTCATAAATGGCTGCATGTTTATGAACTTACCATATTGTTGCACGCTTAAGTGAAGAGCCTGGAAGGTAACAAGTTACCCTCATTTTAGTTGCTTTTGCATATACATCAGTTCAGGCTCAGCAAGTTGGAGAAAAGAAACCTGGCAAATTGAGAAGGCAATTTGAACCAGGAGGTCAGGGTTGGATTCCTAGTCATTGGAATCACAGGGTTTGATTCCCAGTGGAGGCATTCATTCAAAAGAGAGTGAGAACAAGACAGAATTCAGATTCTGGAAATAACACCGTGTGTGTATTTGAGGACGGCGTGTTTGAGGCTGGCTTTGGGAGGAGGTACCTGGCAGATGTTTTTGGGGAGGGGGAGAGGTTTACTTACTGCCCAATCTGAGGTTGAGGGGACGATGTTTTAAAAATGGGAAAACCGAGGTCTGAGTAGGACACGTGCGACACAGTCTCCAGGCTGGAGGAGCCTAGGAGAGCTAGGCCGGGCTGGCACTGCTGTGTCCCCCAGCTGCTCAGCTCACAGGTCCTCTTACAGATGGGCTTTTCGTTGTGTGTGTGTGTTTTTTTTTTTAATTCTCACCTGAGGATATTTTTAAATTGATTTTTAGAGAGAAGACATGAATGTGAGAAACATCGATTGATTGCCTCCTATACGTGCCCTTACTGGGAATTGAACCTGCCATCTAGGCATGTGACCTGATTTGGAATCAAACTCAAAACTTTTTTTGGGTACAGGATAACACTCATCAACTGAACCACCTGGCCAGGGTGGAATTGGTAGTTTTGATTTGCAAAGATTTGGATGAGATGGGTAACCCATTTGGCCATGAAAATAATTTCTCAAAGGTGCCTTTAGGTGTTTTATCCTATCAGGAATTTTTTTCAATGTGTTTTTATTGATTTCAGAGAGGAAAGGAGAGGGGGAGAAAGATAAATACATCAATGATGAGAATCATTAATCAGCTGTCTCCTATGCAGGATGGAGCCCACAAGCCGGGCATGTGCCCTGACTGGGAATCGAACCCTGACCTTCTGGTTTATAGGTTAAATACAATCCACTGAGCAGTGCCAGACGTATCAGGAATTTCTTATTTCCACATCTCAGCCTTCCCACATTTGTTAGTCTGAAAATGGCTCTTGTCTGTAGCTTGAAGAAAATGGCAGACAGCCATTCATATTACATAAACTTTATATATATTTTTTGAATATAACAAGCATTTTATTAGCTTTTTCCTTCTTGAGGCCTATTTCAGAGACTGCTAACAGATGTCTCTGACGTGGAGCCTCTGAGGGCCGCCCCTGCCTTGGTCTGCAGCCCATTTCTCTTCCCAGCCTGCACCTGTCAGCAGTTTCACCCTGACCTTGCTCACAGGAACTCTGCCCTCTCTCTGCTACCAAAGACCTGGGAGACTGAGTGGGTGCCTGGCTGCCCCTCATGGCCTCTTTCTGGGAAGACACCAGGTCCAGCCTTTCTGGCCCACCCCTTAAGGTGGCAGGACTAGAGAAGGACGGCAGAGCCCAGCATACCACGTCTCCCTCTGGGAATTGTGGTGTTTTGTGTGTGTTTTTTCATTATATTTTCAACCATTTGGGGCCTTTTTACCAAGATGGTTTGCTGTCATGCTTACCTGAAGCTGCTTTCAGACCTGGAGGAAGGTGATCCCAGCTCTACCTGCTTCTCCTTGAGAAGTGGGACAGTTTACCTGCTGCACGCCAGATGGAATAAAAAGGAAGTGCCATGTTCTTGGCACATCGCACAGCCCGATACTGAGTGCCTCCGAACCTTACTGCCGGTTTTGACGATTTGCTTTAATCTGGGAGATGCTTATTAAAAATCAGAGTCTTTTTTTCTTTTCGAGGCCTACCCCATCTCTGCCAGCACTGAGAGTTGCTGTAATGAAAACAGTTAAAATCAGGTGTGCAGGGGAGGTTTCCGTTCCTGGTCCTCTGACAGGCCTGAGCGGGCTCGGGGGAGCCGCCTGGTAGTGGAGAGGCAGAACTTCCCTGCCTTAGCGGGAGCTCTGGGCTGTGGAGGCAGAATGCGGACATACTGGAGGGGCTGCGTTGGCCAGAGCAGAGGACTGGTGTCACCAGGATGAAATTACGAGCTCTCATTCGTACGGCAGCATGTGCTGAGTGGTCGCTGATTGCATATCCTGTGGCTTTCCCTGCTGAATACCTTTGGCTGACTTACTCTTTCGACTGCCCATTGCCTGCCGGGGCTGTTAGTAAAGGGGGTCATGCACTATTTGTCTGGCAGAAGCCTTGCAGCAGCCTCGCAGCGGCTTGATAGAGAGTGAGGACACGAGGCGGGGAGAAGGGAGGCGGCTAGCCTGGTGGTGGCCTTAGACTGCTCAGGCTTCAGGTTCCTATCTGTAACGAGGAAGAATAATCTTTATCCAGAAGGTTTTCATGAGCTTTCAGTGAGAGAGCCTGGCCTGAGAGACGCAGCAGGCATAGGCTGGGAATGTGGGTGGTTGGGGACGGGGCTGTGGGTGGTTGGGGACGGGGCAATGGGTACAGGGCAGTGAGTGGTGGGCAGCTTTTATCCAGACACCAGCTCTACTGCTCTGTCTTTGGCCATCCCTGGAGTCTCCTGGACTTTTCATCACTTTATAAATGAGGAGTAACCTATGTCACTACTTCCTGTTTATCCCCTCAGGTCTCCTCAGCTTTGAAGACCACATTGAGGGTAATTTTTGGCAAAAGTTCTTCCCGTGCCTGCCTTTGCTGCCCCAACAGCCAGCTGAGCTGGCTTTGCATCTTCAGATCCCTTCTGCTCCATCCTCTGGCAGACTGGCCTTCCCGAGGAAGGGGATAGTTTTCAGTCTGTTTCATAAGTTTATGCAACAGGATTTACATGGTGTCAGGCACAGGTCTTCATCGATGAAAAGACTAATGGGTCACCACACCTGTGCACAGCGCCATTATCAGACACATGGCCTCCCTCTAGCTCAGCAGATGTTTCCTCTTGGAGAGGGAATGACGTGTTTGGGGCGTAGGCTGGGTGAGCCAGCTAATGCACAGCCCGAGCCTCAGTGTCCTCCTCTGGAAGGAGGGGCTGGGCTAGAGCCACATTACTTCTGAGCTGTGTTATACAGCGCGGGCCAGGGGCTGGGGACTTGGAAGTCCAGCTGTGCTCCAGAAGAGGAGCTGGGAACCCTTACCCAAAGTCCGAGGAAGGGTTGCTCATGGAGAAATCCGGGCAGTGTTAGGCATGAGGACCTTCGCCCAGTGTTACAGGTGCAGATAGGCATTTTGGGGTGAGATCTACTGAGAGGAGAGGCTTTCTTATTCCCAAAGATCATTTAAATCCAGCCAGGACCAGCCTTCCCCAGCGTGGCTTCAGCAGCTGGCTTTTGCTGTGCAGTGAAGACAACCCATAGGAGAGCCATTTCAATGGAAGCCTTTTGAAAATAGAAAATAGTTGCCAGGACCGGTTTGGCTCAGTGGATAGAGTGTCCGCCTGCGGACTGAAAGGTCCCGGGTTCGATTCCGGTCAAGGGCATGTACCTTGGTTGCAGGCACATCCAGTAGGGGGTGTGCAAGAGGCAGCTGATCGATGATTCTCTCTCATCGATGTTTCTAACTCTCTGTCCCTCTCAATTCCTCTCTGTGTAAAATCAATAAAATATATTTAAAAAAAAAAGAAAAAGAAAAAAAAAAGAAAATAGAAAGTAGTGATAATGTTTACTTCTTTCCTTCCAAAGGCTTAAACTTTAATTTTTACTCACTATTAACCTGCTATACTGATCTTTTAGTTTTGAAAGGAAGATGGAATCTCACATTCTAAGGAGGCTGCAGTATGTCCAGTTTGCCCCCCCTCCAACCCCCATGCCCCAATACCTGCTGTTCACAGAGTGTCTGCTCCGAAGCCGCCTGCTGTCGGAGGCGCTCATGCACAGTGAGTGTTTTTCTTTCTTTCTCCAGGTCATGGCTTCCAGCTTCTCAGAGCTGTGTCTCCAGCAGAGGAAAGAGAAATGACTGTCGGGGGCCTTGCTCCAGGTCTGTTACAGGGACTGAACCTTCGCTGGGTGCGAGCTTTCTCAGGACAGGAAAGCTTCTCTCTTTGAAGGGCTTTGCATTTGTTACAAAGAAAAGAAAGATGACGACTTCGTCAATCAGACGGCAGATGAAAAACATTGTGAACAATTACTCAGAAGCAGAAATAAAAGTGCGGGAAGCCACCTCCAATGACCCCTGGGGCCCGTCCAGCTCCCTGATGACGGAGATCGCGGACCTGACCTACAACGTGGTGGCCTTCTCGGAGATCATGAGCATGGTGTGGAAGCGGCTCAACGACCACGGCAAGAACTGGCGGCACGTGTACAAGGCGCTGACGCTCCTGGACTACCTCATCAAGACGGGCTCGGAGCGGGTGGCTCAGCAGTGCCGGGAGAACATCTTCGCCATCCAGACCCTGAAGGACTTCCAGTACATCGACCGCGACGGCAAGGACCAGGGCATCAACGTGCGGGAGAAGTCGAAGCAGCTGGTGGCCCTGCTCAAGGACGACGAGCGGCTGAAGGCCGAGAGGGTCCAGGCCCTCAAAACCAAAGAGCGCATGGCCCAGGTGGCCACCGGGATGAGCAGCAACCAGATCACCTTCGGGCGCGGCTCCAGCCAGCCCAACCTCTCTACCACCTACTCAGAGCAGGAGTATGGCAAGGCCGGGGGATCGCCAGCCTCCTATCACGGCTGTGAGTAGTGGGAATGCGCCTCACCCCTTGCCAGGAGCGCTGGGCAACATCTGGGAGGTGCCTTTAGGCTGAGCGAGATGGTGCGTCATCTCAGCTTCGGGCCGCCTCGACAGCAGTGTTCCTTCGTCCGCTCTGAGTCACTGTCACAAAGGGCTTTCGGCCTGTGGCTGCTTTGCTCCAGTGTCTCAAGAGCCTCTGCTTCCGAGTTGCTGCCGCACATGGAGGCAGGACTGCCTCCGGGAGAAGGGGAGGAGCAGGCCTCCCGTGTCCTGCTGGGAGGGCTGCGTGAAGGGCTGCCTGCCGCGCACACAGTGGGAGGAAGGAGGCTGTGTTTGGTAGCTGGGAGGAAACGGGTGATTTTTCTGGATAATCTTGTTTCTTTAATCTCATCTCATTGTTTTTTAATGATTGGGCTACAGGTCTCCTGACCGGCTCAGTGTGCTTTCTGCTTTGGCATCACAGGGCACGAGGTGGTATGTCTCTGTGCACTGACACGGAGAAAGCAAGGCCTCCGCAGGTGTTCCTGTGGGCAAGGGCTCCTTTTCCCACCTGCACAGGAGAGTTCGTGTGGTTTGTTGGCATGGCTGGGTCTGTGCGGGGGCTGCTGCTTCCTCATTTTGCATCGGTTCGCCCTTGGCCCAGTGTTTGGAAGAGGTGGCAGGATCAGAAGTGGCGTTCAGGCCTGATGGAAGCTGGCCTCTGTGCACAGCATGGCATCCGGCGCTCCCTGAAAGTGGCCCCCGGGATCTCGCCTCAGCCTTCACAGTGCGGTGGAGAGAGGTGGCCATGGCCTGTGGGTGGGCTGCAGTGGGGGATGCAAAAATAAAATATAGGTCCCTATGCTCTTTCTTTCTGGAATCAGTGTCACTTAGGTCAGCATAACAAAAAACTTGTTCTAAAGGAAGTTTTAGCAGACCCTTGCTTAATCAGTGGTCTGCTAACATTTCCTGCTTTTGCAGGTTTCAATTTGACATTGCACAGCCACCAGGAGCATTTGAGACATGTGTCAAATAGGAAATTTGCATAGTAAAGCCAAAGTCCCTGCCTCTAGAAATTGTAAAGTATTGCCAAGCTGGGAGAGGTTAGCAATACCTCTACGTCTTGTACCGTCAGTTCCTCACTTAGTTTGAACTCTGCTTAAGCAAAGATTGTGACTTTCATGAAAGCCTGCATCTTGGAAAAAATATAACCTGCATCTCCAGAGTCCAGGCGAGGGTGCCCAAAAAATACAGACTGCCCTTCAACAGTGAAGTTGCTTGTTTCTCTCAAGTTACCTCTCTCCATCCTCCAGAAAGGCCTCCTGTGGGTCGACTTGGTCTCCAGGCCCTTGGCTTCCTCTTGGGAAGCGGCTGTAGTTGTGCTGTGTGGCCACCGGGAGCTGCCCCTCTTCCTACCTGCCCTTTGAGTCATTGTTCTCAAGAAGCCAGAGGCCACAGAGCGAGGGGCTGGAATAGTGCTTTTGTTGGTAGCGTGTGGGATGCTCCAGTGGCAGGGAGGTCATGGAGGGTGCGGGTGGGTGCCTGGGCGGGGCCTCTCATCACAGGTCCTGCCGGCCTTACACTGGGCTGCCTGCTGCTGCCGTGTCCCAGCTCGACGGTTTCTGGTTCCCTCAGACCTTGAGCTTGAGCAGCAAGTTCAGGGTCAGAATGTGGTGGGTCAGCAGGCTGTTCACTGCCTCTGAGAACACCAGGCAGGCACTGGCCTCCGCTGGAACCTCTGCCACTCCCACTTCCTCTAATGGCCTGTCTTTTTCTGTGTGTGTGTGTGTATGTCCCTGCCCAACAGCGCCCGAGACCTCGCTGTGCCCCCAGCACCGCACGGGGGTCCCGCTGGGTCAGAGCGAGGAGCTGCAGCCGCTGAGCCAGCATCACCCCTTCCTGTCGCACCTGGGGCTGGCCTCCCACCCAAATGGTGACTGGGCCCAGCCCTGCCTCACTTGTGACTGCGCAGGCCGAGGTGGGATGGCAGTTTGCTTTTTCCTTCCTAGAAATGCTGGGCAGCTTGCTGGGGGGTGCGTGTCATGTCAGTACAGCCAACTCTCTCCCTGTGTCCTCTGGGCCTCATGGGCCAGACTCCAGAACACCAAGGCCCTTTCCTCCTCTCCGCAGGAGCTCAAGTCCTGGCCATGCTCCCCTCACACTGTCATGTCACTTCCAGAAGTTCTGCCTGAGGCCTAAGAGGGGAGCTGCTGTTGGGTCAGGCCCGGGGTGACTGTCCATGCTGTCCTGTGTCCCCATGCCCTGAAAAACGTGGAGGGGCTTTCCTGTCTGTCAGATCCAGGTGCAGTGGCGGACCAGACCATGTGGCTTGTTGAGCCAGAAAGGTGTGGTTTAAGCCTCCCAGTGCGGCAAACCCGAGGACCGCAGAGGATGGTCGTTGGAAGCCATCGTCCTTGATGCAGTGATACGTGCCTGGCTGCGGACAAATGGGATTGTTTTTGCTTTTCAATTAACTGCTGTTCTTCCTAAAATCCCCGTTACAGTGGTAAACAGAGAGTTAGCTGTACTGTCAATTCTAGGTCACAGTGTTTGAAGATACCTAATTCAATGGGTAATTAAAAATGGGGCTTCTCTTTTGACTAATTAATAATGTATCCTGGTCAGAGACTACAACTGTTGCAGGTTAAACCGAAAACAGATTGCTGTGCTGCCTACAGGAAAATGCTCTCAATCTACCTGCCTCAGGTCCCCCATGGGGCCCCGCCACAGAGAAGAAAGCTTTATGAGAAGGGTGCCAACAAAGAGCCTTTGTGAGCCGCCCAGTAAGGTGTGGCCAGCCTGTATTCAGGCTGAAAATAGGGACTGTTTATTCCTGCTCATTAATTCTGCAGGGTTTGGGATGTGGGCATTTGTGTGATCATTGTATTTAGCTCTGGGACATTTTCCTTTGTGCCCCGCCTTCCTCAAACAGTTTATGGAGGACTTTGTAAGGAGGGCCAGCTTTGCACCGTGTTCCCAAGGAGCTCCCAGTGTGCTGAGCTGCAGGTCTGCCTCCCGCCAGGCCCCATGCTCCCAGAACTCCAGGGTCTTCCTTTTGTTTTCCAGGTTCTACCCTTTTAGTAACGGGCAGGGCCTATGGTGTGCTCAGTGGTTAGCTTGGTATTCACTGGCCCTCCAGCTCCTCTGCTGGCAGGCTGCCTCTCCTGGGACTGGCATTACAGTCACTCCTCCCACTCTGCCAGGACCAGACACCCTGCTCCACCAGCCCCTCTGCCCCTCTGCCCACAGTCCCTTCCACGTGGGGGCCTCCCCGCATATCTGGCAAGGTGGATTTCTCTTCTTCAGCTCTGGAAGGAATTAAGGATAAAAATGAGTTTTATTTATTTTTTTGAGGATTTCTCCCACCCTAGATGAGTTTTGGGCAAGCAAGTATTTCACAGTGTCGTGTGTTATGCTTCACCATGTGTTCATCCTTCTCTACACTTAGCACGCTCCAAGACGGGGCTGCGGGGACAGGGCCCTGTCCTGTGACTCCTCTCTTCTTTCTCAGCACCTAGCAAAGTGCTGAGTGGAAGGTAAACGCTAACATACGCATTTTGGCAGACTTGCTTTGGACACGCTTGCTTGGAACCCAGCAGTGGAGAAGTCAGACTGACCCAGCACTGCATGGCAGGCTCCTGAAATGCAGGCTGGCACTCCGGACATTTGTGAGAGGCACACTTGGGACCCAGACCCCTCAGGGAGCCCCGGAGATACGGTGCAGACTCAGGCAGGAGCAGGGAAGGCAGCTGTGAGAAAGAAGCCCTTGTGTTCGCACCCACAGTAATGGTGGCGTTTGAGGAGAGCTTCCTTTTCCTTCCATACTCATGTACCCTCCTGTGCCCTCCCTCCCTCATCTCCCCAGACACCACAGGCCTCCTCTCAGGAGCCTCTCCAGTGCTGCCCTTCAGCTCTAGCTCCTGCCCTCCGCTCCCTGCCAGCTTCTGGCTGGCTTCTTCCCCATTCTTACCCGCCCTCCCGCTTCCTATTGTACACCAGGTTCTGATCTCAGGTCGCAGAAGGCTCCCCTGGATCCAGGGGTCCCCAGAGGGCCCAGCTCAGAGCCTTTGGTGTGGCGGACAAGTCCCTCTCTGGTGGTCTTTAGTTGTCCCCGCCAGCTTGCGTCTGCCGAGGTCTGCCTTGGCTCCCACTCTGGGTGAAGCCTGCCCCAGCTGCACTCGAGCTCCCACGTTTCCTTGTTCACTCAGCAGATATGTATTCAGCTCCCACTGTGTGCCAGGCACTGTGCTAACACAACGCAGGGCCCTGCCACTACTGGTGGAAGAGAGACAATACACAGACAGTATTCAGCATGTTACATGATGAGTGCTTTGTAAAACAGCAAACAAAACCCAGAGCAGCCCGACCCTGGCTGAAGAATAGGGAAGGAGGTCTGGAGTGTTCAGGAGGGGTCAGAAAAGCCTCTTTGAGAAAGTGATGCTGGAGCAGGGCTGGAGGAAGAGGGGAATGAGCTGTTGAGCATCTGGAAAAGCATTCCAGGCAGATGGCAGGAGCCGCAATGCAAAGGCCCTGAGGTGGGAGCTGCTCAGGGTGTTTGTGGAGCAGGAAGGGGGACAGGAAGTGGCCAGTGTGGCTGGAGCTGGTGAGGTCAGGGTGGGAGTACAGCAGAGAGCGGGCCTGGAGAAGGGGTAGGTCCACTTCTCAGACTGACTCAGGCGAGGAGCAGTTCTTTCCAACCTCATCCATCTCAGACTGGTCCTTTTGTGTCAGCGTTTCGTTTGTAGCACTGTCAGGTGGCTATAAAAGCCTGAGTTCTTTCTCTGCCTGTCCTTATGCTGTCCTGTGCCAGATGCTAACTAGACTGGCGGTGGACTTTTGGGTCATTACAAACCCTTGGCTTCCACTCAGTGAGCTAGGGAGGTATGGGTGGGTTTGGCACCGAGGAGGGACTTGATCCGGTTTAGGGATGAGAAGGCTCAGGAGGACCCTCTGGCTATGTATGAAGCAGGGCGGGCCCAGGAAAGCCAGTCAGGAGTCCACTGCCCTCCTCCAGGTGGGAGACGGCATGCCTAGATCTGATGGGGCTGTGGCGGTCTGGGTGAGAGTGACAAGGCTTGCTAGGGGACTGGACCAGGTGAGAGGAGTTTGGGACCGCTCTGATGACTGTCATCCCCTGGCGAGAGGGCGCCCGTGAACAAAGCAGACGTGACAGAGGCGGGATTGTGTTCTGGACATGCTGGCAGAGGTGGAGGTGCGGAGGAGGTCTGAGGAGTCCAGGGCGAAGGGAGCATCCAGGCTTGAAGGTGCCTTCTGCACTCAGGCCGCCCCGCACTCACATGGTCTCCTCGTTCCTGGGGAGCTGGCTGCCCTCCCCATCGAGGCTGGCTCCTGGGCCCTCCTGGGCCCGCCTGGGCCGGCTGGCTCCCTTGGTCATGGGGAGTGGTCAGGACTGCTGTGTGCAGGTAAAGCCGTGGGGCCCTGAGGAGGGCTCCTGGGCTGTGAGGGGCTGGGTTTTGCTTAAGACGATCTAGGCTGGGTGGACGGACAGTCTGGACAAGGCAGCAGCTTGTATGGAGTGAACAGCCCACTTGCCCCCCATGCCCAGGGCCCTGTCCACCCTCCCACGTTCTGCAGAGCCACTCACGGTGCTCAGCAGGCTGTGGGGAAGCTATAGCTGTTCTGGGTGGCGGGAACTCATATCAAAGGCGCCACAGGGTTGGGAGAATTGTCCCTGTGAGTCACTGGAAGCCTATAAGGAAAGATGGCTGCTGTCCTCTGACATCGATCTCCAACGTCCAGGGCTAGACCTCCCGCTCACCCCGCTCGGGGCCTCGGTTGGCCTCCACAGAGGGAGGGCTAGTGAAAGGAGAGAAGGCCCACTCGGCTCCCTTTGTGGGGCTCCTGCGTCTGTGTCCGAGCCAGGCCCGCACTTGCCTTGCTGCAGTGTGACCGTGACCATGACCGTGTCCGTGTGGCTGGTGCTTTGGGTTTCTGGGTGTCAGCTTTCCCATTCTTAGGAAAGGAGAAAACGGAAGGAAGGGGGAGGATAGAAATCCTCATTGCTCTCTGATTCCTTCAGGTGGAGGAGAACCAACCTGAGGCCCCAGAACCGAGTGGGCAGTGGCGTGCTTTGCAAGGGGTGGGTGCTGCTGCCTGTGCCAGGTCTGCAAGCTGTCCGATGAACCCTGCTGGTTGACACCTTCGGCACTCTGGCCGGTGCTGTCCTGTGCCATATGCCGCCCGTGGGGGTTCAGGTCTGTTCCCAGGGGGCGCCAGTGTTCCCGTCAGGCCAGCTTTTCCTTTGGGCCGGGAGCCCTGCACACAGGGAGGTCCCCTTGCACACCGTGGGCAGTGATTCACCGTTTTCATTTCATGTATTTGCCCTGCTTCACTCTAGAAAGCATTGCAGTTGGCATTGTCAGAGGATTATATAGATACCAGAAGAAAATTGGGCAAAAGGAAAATAAGGATAAGAAAATGAGACAAGGCAAGGGTCACACATAACTGCTGGAGATTTGGCTTTGAACTTCTCAGCCACCAGCACAAAGAGGACAGTTTCTCTTTAGTTGCTGAACAAGAGTCCAGGATGCAGATGAGGTCCGGGAGGCCAAGTGCTCCCTGTGAGGAGAGGCGGGCCTGAGCCCAGGCCTTTGCGGGAGCGCTGGGCTCTCGATCCTGGCTGCCTCTCACGGTCTGCACGCAGTCTCTCGCCGGGAGAGGAGGGATGGATGGCCCCCCCACTCCCTCACGGAGATCAGACATTCTTAGATGTTAGAGAGATTCTGAAAGCTGTTGCATGCGTGGTTTCTCACACGTGTTTGAGAAGGCCCTGGTAACAGCCTGCCCTCCAGGGCTCCAGGGAAGCTGGTCTCGGTGGCATGGGACGGCGGGTGGCTGAGGCCGTGGCACCGGCTCTGCCAACGCACTGCGGAGGAGAGCATGTACCGTGCAAGAGAGCGTTTCCGGAGCATCGGGCAGCTGAGAAAGAGTCTTCTATATCTGTTTTGAAAATTAGGG